TTCCCTCTCCGTATCGCTGGCAGACCCCATTCACAGTCAGCGGCACCTGCCCCGACATACCCTCTGCCAGATGACCCTCCCGTCACTCCACAGAGCGGGGGCCGCAACCGCCTGCAGAAGCGAACCCATCGTGCGTCTGCTCTGCCGGCTCCACCTCCGGTTGGCTCAAGCCCTCTCGCGCCCATCTCGTCACACAATCACCAGGAGAGCCTGGGAGGCGGTTTCACGCCTCCGACTCGACTCCCTCGGGCGTCGACATGGGACTATCCCAACGAGAACCACGCGCCCCAGTATGGCAGCTCTCCTGGAGGCTCGCGCGGCGCCCCCCCAGTCCCTGACAAGATTCCTTTGCCCCTCATGAGCGGTGCCTTGACGCACCGAGGCTCGGGCGGTGTCGGTGGCGGCGAGGACTGGGCGCTGATGCACGAGATGAGCCAGATTGACATTGGCGCAGGTCGGTCGAGGCGGCACGGAGGTTACTGAAGCTTTTCATGTGAGCTTGATGTTTGTGAAATGTAAACGATAGATGTATGCTTATGATTTCATTGCATGCTTGGCGTTAGGACGTGGATATATGCCTTGCATTTTCATTTCCCCTTGTCCCAAAGGACGGCGGAAGGATGGATTGGGAGGTGAGCGGAGGTAATACCACCAGGGTGATACAAATCGAGACATTTTTGTTGCCACAGTAGAACTCGGTACATTTGACATGGTGCATGCGACGGTCACAGTATCAAGTCAGGCCAACTTGACCATGGCGTGGCCGCAGAGAGAGAGGATGGTATCAAGATGGTGTAGATGGATGGGACTGGTCTATCTGTCTGCTGGTGTGTGTCTGGTCTACCCCCACAGCCACCACCACCACTACTTCCACCGCCCACCGCCGGTCTTTTTTATGTGGTCTGTCCCGGCTCTTTGTTTGACCCTCCCCAACGCCATCGCAATGCAGCAAAGCAAATCCAATCCTTGCTTCCCTGGCTTTTTTCCTTCTCAGCAAAGAAACAAAACATCAAACAAAAGCAGAAGAGGAAGAACAAGAAGAGGTGAACACGCTGTGAGGTTCGGAGCAATCCCCTCTTGGCTTCCCCCGCCTCCCCATCTTCACCGTTCTATACATCGTCTCCCGGGTATATCAAAGCACACTCGATTTTGTTCCCTCTCCCTCGCTCCGTTTTCTTTCCTTTGTGTCGGTCATCTCCACCGTCTCCAACAGGGGCCTCTACATCAGGAGGGTTCCACGTAAGAGGAAGGGAGAAAGCAAGATAGCTGAGAGAAAATGTGGACAAAGAGGGGAGGGAAACTCAGGCAGCGCCGAGGATGAGGCCGTCGACCATGCCGCCCGGTCTCGCACGCGGCCTTTTGCCTTTTCGACCCTCGCCCCCCGACGCGGCGGCGCAGCAGGCGGAAGCCGTCGGCGAGGTCGGCGCTGCCGCCGGCGTACTCGGCGTAGAGCTCAATGAGGTGCATGCCGACCTCGACGCATGCGCTGACGTAGCGGGGGTCGACGACGTGGGCGCACACCCACTTGAGGATGGGCTGGACGGTGCGCTCGTCGCGGCCCTCGAGGGCGAACGCGGACGGCGCTGCGGTGGCCCAGGGCGAGGAGGAGGTTAACC